ATAAAAATATATTAATGATAACCAACAAGGAACTAAAGAAAAGTATTACTTGGGATATTAGTAAATCTTTGGAAATTAGTTTGCTTTGATTTTAAGAATTAAAAAACTTGTACATTTTTTGAAGTGATTATTTATCAAGATAATTCTGACCAAGATGTATTGTTACTGTGGTTGTGCACACCAGTAGAATTTGCTGAAGGAGGCAGAGGCAGGAGGATCACGAGTTCGAGGCCAGCCTGGGCTACAAAAGCTAGTTCCAGGACAGCTTCCAAAGCCACAGAGAAACCCTGTCTCGAAAAACCAAAACCAAAACCAACCAACCAAACAAACAAAAAACAACCCCCCCCAAAAAAAACCAAAAAAAATAAAACAAAAAAAAGAGAGAAAAGAAACCAATGGAATTTGATACTCTAGAGCAATACTTACCACAGTCAGTCATTTGTGTAATACACTGTTACTTAAAGACGTTACTAGAAATTTTGGGAAATAAACTATAAGCTACATGTAGTGTATATAGATCCTACTATATGAAAACAAATTCTAATTCTAATCTCAGAACCTGCCTCTCCTTTCCATGTATGTACACATGTACTTTTATAAGCTATATTTTAAATTTGAATATTTATGGGCTTGTGTTCAGCTCATTGAGTAGTTTAAGGCACTATTATATAAAATATACAATTAGCCAATGTTATTTGATTTTGTTAACTAGATTGTTTACATGCCCATTCCCTACTGTTCTGTGAAGCCCTCAAGGCCAGGAACAGTGTGCTTATTTTAAAATCTTTTCTTCTCTAGGATGTACTAATAGACAATATGTGTTTCATTAGTGCGTAAATATCAGAACAAGGTAAGTACTTTATTTAAGAGTAAGTCACGCCGGGTGGTGGTGGCACACGCCTTTAATCCCAGCACTTGGGAGACAGAGGCAGGCGGATCTCTGTGAATTCGAGCCCGGGCTCATAAAAACCAAAAGAAAAAAAAAAGAGTAAGTCACTAGTATAAAGCAAACATTTCACAGTTGAAACATTTTATAAAATCACATACTTTTGTTCATTGTTATTGTCAAATTTCTTACAATTGAAGCTTGTCACTTCCATTGCTGTGGGCTAAAGAATGTTGGAGATGTTTTATTGTACTGTATGTATTTATTTAATCCATTAACTACTTGGTTACACTACTATTAAGTATATGATGTTTAGACTACACAACTTAAAAAGATTGTTTGTGTGATACGTGTATATATATATATATATATATATATGTATATAAATGGATGGTGTTTGTATGGAAGGCTATATGAATGCCACATTCCGAAGTGTGCCACTCAGAGGATCATCTCGGGTGTTGGTCTTCATTTTCCAGTCTTCCGTCTTGTTTAAGGCAAGGTCTCATTTGTTGTTGTATGTATGAGGTGAGCTGGCTTGTGAGCTTCTAGGGACTCTCCTCTTCCCACCTCTCATCTCACCTTAGGAACACTGGGATTACAAAATTGACTTGGTTTCTGAAGATTCGGGCTCAGGTTCTCACATGTGTGCAAACACTACCCGCAAATCCATCATTGCACAATATTCAAGAATAGCAGACAGAATGTGTTTTAGAATTGCTATACCCATAAACCAGATGTATTGAAAACTTCAGTTATTGAAATTTTTACTGTGTTGTATTGATAAGCAAGGCGTTATTTATTGAATTTAACCCACAAGCAAAGAATCTTATGGCTGGTGAGACTTTAGCAATCACAAAATATTTGGGAACAATATTGAAGTATAAGAGTCAAACCATGATATCTAAACCAGATAGACTAGACTCAAATCCCATCATCTCTAAAGTGTGTGATCTCAGGCAATTACTTAATCTTCTTGTTTCTTCATCTTGAAAATATGGCCTAAAAATAGTTCTTACATCATAGGGTCATTGTTAAGATTTAATCAGTTAAGTGAGAATGAAATAAATGAGAATGTCTTAGAATATTTCCTTATACATAGCGAGTACTTAAGCACGTGGGTATCATAATTGTTAGAATTGAAATCTAATTATTTCCCTTAAATTTAATTTTCATTATATGAAGAAACCTCAACTGTGGATCATTACATGACTTCTTAGAATATGCAAAAATTAGCCCAGAACACAATATTTTTATTTTAGTTGTTGTTGTGTGTGTATGTATGTCATGTTACTGTGTGTATGACAGCACATGTTTGGAAGTCAGAGGACAACTTTTTGGAGTTGATTCTCCTATTATGGGTTCTAATAATTGAACTCAGGTTTTCAAACTTGCACTTTCATGTGTCTTTATGAGTTGAATCATTATACCTGCTCCAGAAGCTTTACTTTCTAGAATTGATAAGTAATAGACTTCATTTTATTTTAAATCATGTATTGGTATGTGTGTGGCTTAACTGCATGTGAGCTCTGATGCCTGTGGAGAGGCCAGAGGCACAGGATCTCTCTGGAACTAGAGTTAATGAGCAGTTGTGAGCTGTGTGATGTGGGTGTTGGGCACTGAATTCAGGTCTTCTGCTAGAGCAGTACACATTCTTAACTGTTGAGATGTCTCTCTATTCCCAATGTTTTTATTATTTTTAAAGGATTCTTAGGCTTGTAGAACATTTGAAGGAAGATATGAGATTTCATATGTACTCCTTACCTCCATGCCTATATTAGTACCCTCTTTACCAATCATGTCCTTTAATGGAGTGCTGCTTTTGTTATAATGATTCGCTTTATCCAGTTATTATCATTCAAAATGCAGTCTGTACATTTATCATCCTTGATGTTGTATATTCTTTTGGTGTGAACAAAAGTACTGTAACATCTATATGGTCACTTTTAGATCACATTGAGAATAACTTTAAACTCTGAAAAGTTCTCCGTGTTTAATTTTTTTCATTCTGTCTTCACCGTAACCCCTAGAACCATTGCTTTTTTTCACTATCATTTATAATTTGTCTATTCTAGGATGTCATATAGTGGGAATCATGTAAATTGTAACCTTTTCATATTAGCTTCTTTCACTTGGGAACAAGCATTTAAACTTCCTCCATATCTTTGCAAGGCTTTGTTCTTTTTAGCACTGGAAAACATTCTATTGTCTTGATATATCACAGACTGTCCATTCAGCTGATAAAGAATATCTTGATTATTTGCAAGTTTGGGAAACTATGACTATAGCTCCTGTAGAGCAACATGGTTGTTGAGGATATTAAAAATAGATTTGCAAGAAACTGTCAAGTAGTTGTACTATTTTTATTTTTATTATTATTTTTTTTTCGTGATAGGGTTTTTTATTTGTGGCTTTGGAGGCTGTCCTGGAACTAGCTCTTGTAGACCAGGCTGGTCTTGAACTCACAAAGATCTGCCTGTCTCTGCCTCCCTAGTGCTAGGATTAAAGGTGTGCGTGTGCCCCCACCACCTGTCTAGTTGTATTATTTTCCATTGTTGCTATTCGTAATTGAGAGTTCTGGTTGCTCCACATCCTGATCAGCATTTGGTATTGTCAGTGCTTTTGATTTTGATTATTCTAACGAGTGTGCAATGCTATCTCCTTGTTTTACTTTGCACTTTTTGAAGACATATGATGTACATATTCTCATTTGCTTATTTGTCTTTTGGTTTTCCTCTTCAATGAGATGTCTGTTAAGCTCTTTGTCCACTTTTTAATTGCATTGCTTGGTTTCCAGTTGAGTTTAAGACATTTCATATTTTAGATAATTGTCTATTACAAGATTTGCCTTCCGCAAATATTTTCTAGCTTTTCATGGCTTGTACTATCATGATCTTTTCTGTACCCTTGATAGAGGAAAAAATGGTAATTTTAATGAAGTTTAGTTTACTAATACTTTCTTGTTTTGGATCATACCATTGGTATTTTACTTAAAGATTTCTTCCTATATTTTTGTAGCATTCCTATATCTTTTAAAGCATTTAGGGTCTATGTCTATTTTTTTTCATGTTGTGTTGTTCCTGCACAATGTGTTGAAAAGACTGCTTTTGTTCCATTTTTACTTTTGTTAAAGATCAGTAGACTAAGTTTATGTGGATCCATTTCCGGCCTCCTTAGTTTTAAAAAACTATTTGCCAAAGCCACACTGTTCTGATATTGTAGCTTTACGATAATAAATGTAGAATTACCAGGTAGAGCAGCAAGGGACAAGATGTGTGCTAATAAATAGGATGACTTTGAACTTGGTATGTTGCTGAGGATGACCATAAACTTCTGCTTCATCTGTCTCCACTTCCTCTAAATGTGGGATTTTAAGTGTAAAACACTATGCCCAGTTTTAGGAAGTACGGATCGAACCCAGGCCTTTGTGTATGTTAGGCAAGAACTCTGCCAACTGCTGGTCTACATATCCTGTACCCAGCCCAGTAAGATTGTTTTTGTTGTATAATGAAATACACTCTGAATTTTGAAGCACAGTATACAGTAAGCCATATAAAAAGATGGTCTTATAGTTAATATATTTAAGATCATTGGTGCCAAAATATAACATTGGAATAAGTCAGATGCATTTCCTTACTTTTCATTTTTTGTGAATTCCTTTAGAAAAATTTACTTAATTTTAATGTTTTTTAAATGCATACATATGATATAGTCAGATTATTTAGAACAATATTAAGGAAGGTGGGTGTCTACGTAGATCTTTGATACAGAACTCAGATATGGTGTAGTGCATCAGGAGTTGTTTTGAAAAAATATGGGATAATAAAAGTGACCCGCAGCCAGTCCTGTTTTGTGATGTCGGTCATTCTATAGATGAAAATATATCACCATTCTAGAAAAGGTACCTGGTTGTTGGCAAAGAGTATGGGGTATATATGGTGGGACCAAGAATATAATTAGCACTAGTATACTGGAGCTAGTGTGTGTGAAAATTTGGTAAAAGATACAGGATAGAGTTTCATTTTTTTCTTTCAAGGAAGGTTTGTTTAAAAGCACCAGTTTTAGTTTTTATTTCTAATAAAAGATCAAGAGTTATTTAGTGTAGTTTCAGATCCATATTATATGGAACCTTGTCTGCTTGAGTGGTCATTCTTAGTGGGTTTATTTCTCTGATATATTATGTATTGTATGCATTGCACCTGTTCATACAGACTACATTGCATTGTGGTGTTTGTGTAGCTGGATGCTTCAAAGAAGAAATCAGCCTGCTTTCTTCTAGGGTACTAGCCTATTAGCAAGTTAATTGAACTTAATTCTGCTCTTGTCTTCAGTTTTGTGTATGGTCTTCGTTTATTTACAGAACGGTGATTTCTTCTTTGCAGTTATCAGTTTTGTCTGAGATCAGCTTTCCTATTGTATGGAGTCTGTTTCTTACAGTCTCCTTTAAGACTGCTCTGACTTTAAAATCATTACTAGGCTTTTGTCAGAGCAGATTTGTTGACATTTTTCCCACATTAAAAAATAAATTTGAAAGATAGCACAAATAAGCTATGCAATTCCCTGTTTCCTGCTAATATGCAAAAATGTATTTATGATAATTACACACGTACTGTGTGCCAGAGCTGAAACAATACATTCCTCATAATGGAGTATAAATAAAGAAGGTGGAGCCAGCTGCTCTTAAACTGTTTATTTGCAAGCAGTAATGCTATAGAGAATATACCTTTTTCACTCTGTTAGTCTGGCAATACTGAACCTGTTGCTGCATTAGACGAGTTGCATTTTGCTGGATAGGGGAAGGAGGGCTGTCTGCTGTCTGGTAGGAGGGCTTTGTCTCTGCCTCTCTCTGTGTTTCTTTCTGTTTTTCTTTCTCTCTCTCCTTCTCTTTCTCTCTCACTGGCTTGCTTGCTCTGTCTCTGTCTTTTTCTCTCTCTCTCTCCCTCTCTCTGCCCCCTTCCCCTCCCTCTCTTGCTCTCTCTCTCTCTCTCCCTCTTCCCGTCTCTGTGGTTTGTAAGGTAGGTTGCAGTGTGTGTATATACACAACATCAAGAGCAGGAAAATGGACTCATTAGGGAGGCAGGCAGTCATTACCACTCACACTGTACTTCCAGGGAGACACCGATTATGAGAAGAGAAACTCAGCGCTGGGGAAGAAGGTAGGGGCAGACAACTTTCATAAAAACAACCCTGCCTCCTCAGTCCCCCTCTATTTATCATGTTATTTGGTCCACAGTGCTTTCATGCTTTCTTTTTTGAATTTTAATTTCTGTATTTAAATTTGACAGAGCTAATGCTAGCTTAAAATTTGGAACATCTATAGGAGGCCTACCCTCTACTAATTTTCTTAATTATTTAAGGGTGTGACCTTGTGATTCAGTTTTATTAGTTTAAAAATAATTATAAACAAACCTATTTTTTCTTGCTGAAGTACTAAGTAAATCAGAATCTTTCACTCTTTTAAAACAAACTCCTCCGTATGTTTGTCTCTTTGCTTTTCTTGTCTGTTTATGCAATTCCATCTGTCTGTCTATATATCATGTTGTCCTTATTTATTGCTAACTGGATTTTGTTAGTTATTTGACAGTGAGTTTTAGCTACAGTGCCAGTGTGGGTACTACCAAAGTGAGACTCTTGTTCTTTGTTTTACATTCAAGTTTAAAGTCCATATTTACAGTTTAAATCCTTGAAGCAGGTTGCATACTTTATGCCAGCATGTTTATTTGACGACATTGGACATAAGGTGAGGGATAGCCCTGAAGGTGGGCAAGAATCAAGTAACTGTTTTTGCTGTTTTACACATTGACTTAGGGCTTCAGGGAACTGTATTTTGAAAGGAATTGAGGCTATTTTCTAACTTTTTATTTTACAGATGGATTGTTACATTTATATTGATATTACTGTGGTTAGTAAGAATACAAACTTTCTAAACAAGCAGTTTTTATCCTGGGACAGTTTCCTTTTAGTTTGTTACTGTTTATTTATGCTTGGGAGGGAGTAGTGAGTGGGGGCTGGCCTTTTTTTTTTTTTTCAAACAAAGTGGAAGCTATGGAGTGTATCAGGCCATTTTGTGCAACAACTGTAAGTACTCCCTTTACATTTTTGAGGCTGTAAATAATGTATTTGTTATTACAAATATGTATTTTAGGTGCTCTTTTTCTTTTTTGCTTCTTTTTTCTTCTCATGGTGGAAAAAAGTTATGTTTCAAACTAGCTTATATGGTTGAGGAATTTTCTAGAAAATTGTTTTTCAGAATTCCAAGTAGTAGTTAAATAGGATCCATTTGAAGTATACTTTAAAATAGACTTTTGTTTGGCTTTGTACGAAAGTAAAACTTTTATTCATCTGATAAAAATTAAGTCAGGCAGAGAGACACATAAATGTTTTCAGAAAATATACCAGCAATGATAGGAAATGGATGCTGATCTGTGGAGATCTTTGATAATAACAATCACCTTTTTGTAATACATTATTTATTTACTATAAGTGGCAGACTTTCCCTGTTAATTCCATTAGGCCTCTCTGACAACACAAAGAAGTCCATAAAGCAATATTCTTAACCCACTTGGGACACTAGAGCAGACTCCTCAACACATTTTCAAGGTTCAAACCTAGTAAAATGTTTATTAAAAATCCATTATTATAGGAAGGTAGTGAACTTTTGCCACTAAAAGTCTTTTTTACCTCTTCTTTTAAAAACGTATACTTAGACTTTTTAATTTAGTTATTTTTCTCCTCTGTCTTTTCAGCTGGAAAGACCAGCTTTGCCCAGGAGCAGTACAACCTTGAAGGGCATTCAGTCAGGTCCTTCTAGAGGCTGTTTTCTTCCAAGGTCCAAGAACAGTTTAGCAGGAATCTTTAGCTAGTATGTGATAATACTCTGCGTAACAATTGGGATTTTCAATAGAATTTTTCCCAGTTCAGACTGTGATCCAAAAATTTGTTTCAGAACTGATAGATCAGAGATATGTTTGTCTCATGCACCTGTTAGTTTTGCTATTATCACTGAGAGAAATATTTAAGATGCTCTTTTAAACAAAAGAATTATTTCATGTGTCTTGCATTTTAATATGCATGTATGTTTGTGGAAATATTGTACATTTTTGTACATAATTTGTATTTATATGGATCAAAGAATTACAGATGCATTACTGCTATAATTTAAATAGTTCACATTGTATTTTTACATTACCCACAAGTAAACACCAAATGTAGCAATTCTCAGAAGAAAATAGGAAAGGAAAATTTTAGTCATTTCTGTGGTGGCTTTAATTTTTAGAGTGTGTTTTCTTTTGCATTATAATTCTTGGTTGGCCTTCAGTAAATTGAAAATATTTTTAGTATGAAAAATAATCTTGCCCTTTTCTGGGAGGAACTGTCACAATCTAAATACTGCAGGACATTGTAAAATGTGCATAAGTAAACTTAAAGCCAGTGCCCTCTGCTGCACAGGGATTTGGAAAGCTGAAAGGCTTGCGTCACAGGAGGGCTATAGAGTGCCAGAAAAATTCATTAACCAGCCATACTGGTTTTGGTGGGCTCATCTTCCTGTGTAGGTCCCAAAGCCTTGGTCAGGTCACAGTGTGTTTCATTTTAATGTTGGAGCGGACAGTTATTTAACACACCCACACGAGGAAGTGCTCTAATGCAGTTATTTCATGCTTTGCCATGCCCTGTAGCTAAAACAATTTGGTATTGAGTGACATGTGTATGTTTTTTAACTCCTATCTGATGAAAATCAGCGTTGGCTCTTTGAAAAGCACCCAAAAAGCTGAATGCCAAGCAGTATGATTCAAATGCTAAGCACATGCCAGTTTAAACTTAAAAATTTTTTTAACTGAAGGACGAATCATTATGATTATTTTTAATAGAAAGACTATGTGTGATTTCCCGCATCATACTCAATAGGGTTTCAAAATTTTCGGATACTTTTCCATCATTTTTTTCCTTTCTGCATAAGCCTATATCCATTAAAAGGAAAGCAGCTGCATACTTTCTCCCTGAAATGTTAACAAATAAATGGCATTCCTGTTTATTTATCTATTTTTGAATTTTAATGATTAGTCCTTGTGCTAATTAACAAATTCCTGTATTCATAAAATCTGGCTCTATATAAATAACCAATTGTGTGATTATCTACACATGTTCTGGCTCTCTATAAATATAGAAATTATTGGTGGATGTGTTCATGAACTTGGCCAACCCTGAGTAGTGACTGGTTATGCTGTCTCCTAGGAAGCCAAATTTAGGCCCTGAGCAACGTGTTGCTCCGAGGTCTGGCAAGGTGCAGCATCTGCTCCTGTGCTCACTGTGATCTTTTCTGGCAAGAGGTCTGCTGTTGACATTCTTGGAATGCTGCTAGTCCCAGCCTTCTTCAGCTGCAAGGGTGGCCTCTTGAGAGTAGCTGTTGATAATGGGGATTGGAGCTGCCTTACCTTGGAGCTACTAAAATGATACAAATAACGTTTGTTTCTTTGTTTTGCTTTTTAAACTTCTGTTAACGAAGTCCATCTCAACTTTTTGTTTTAACTGGTAAGGAGCTAAGCTATTTTAAGTCACATAGTACTGAAGATAAAATTTGCATATTTTCATGTATTGGCTGTCTAAATTACAAGTGAATGTTAGAAATTGGGTAACCTACAGTAGTGGTGGTGCATACTGCTGTAGTTTAAGGTGTACTTGCAAAAGGCTTTCCTCCCTATTAAAAAATAATTTTAAAGTAGCAGGTTTCCTTATAGATTTTTTTTTCCACACTTAGTTTTGGTTGGCTCTTGACCCCAGAGTTCCTAACCTAATTTTTCTGACTGCCTATGTATTCGTATGGCTGTACCAGAGTTATAACTAAGTAATCTGTCCTTTGCTAAGAGGCTAAGGTCTGCTTGCCTTTCTCTTTTTCTTTCTTTCTTTTTCATTTTATATAAGACAGTTTGGTACTTTTATGTAATCACTTAGCACTTAGCAAGGCACTTTTCATTTGTGACTGAAAGTCTAAAGACTACATACAAATTCTAAAAATTCTAGAAAATGTATGACTTCTTGTTGTCCTGCTACATAAATGTCCTATATTCATATATCAATATTGAATCCTATTATATTTATTTAATGTACCAAGAATATTTTTGAGCTGTTTTAGAAACAGTAAAGGCAAATTTATGAGGCTGTTAGGTGAAATAGTGCCACCTACCTGTTCTTACTGTCATGCATGTGGCATCCACCATAGCAGGTGTTCAAAGTAGCATTTAGGGACTTACAAGAAATGGGTCATTTCTGTGACTGTGTCCCTTCCTACAGTAATACAGTCCTGAAGAGATGCCCTGCTAGTTGTGCACTCAGCTGAGGGAAAATTATCCTTGGTGTCAGAACCTCTCTTCTACTCCAGAATCAAGCTCTTTGGTGATTCTGCAGTTCACTTGTAAGTAGTCAGCTTGAGAACATGGATCTTTTGCCTTTCTGGAATCTTTTGACACTCAACTGAAACTCCAGGGGGGTGAATTTTGGTTCTGTTAAGTAATACCACTCTTACATAAGCACTTTAACCCAGACAAACCTTAGCTACTGACTTCCAAGTAAGAAATGGAGAAAAGGAGCAAGGACGGTTGGTCAGGTCACTCAGTTGTCAGATGGAAACCAAATGCATCCTCATTAATTCTGAATATCCATGCTTTCCTTCAACGCTGATTGAAAGGGTGCTGATTATTATATGCTGTTTGCCTTTTTGATATAACTTTGGCATTGAAGACTTCTGTGTTTCCAGATATGATGCATTTGTTGCTCATATTTCATATTACGAAGTTAAGTATCAAGAACTTATTTGAAAATTTGTCATATTAAATCACTAATGTGAGTTATTTTCAAAATACATTTATGTATAGTAGAATTTGGAATTTTTGGAGAACAAAACAATGCTTAAATTGAAGCCATAAAGGTACAAATGGGAATAATTACAAATTACATATAGTATTATTTTGCCCTTAAAGAAACTCACTGTGAACCTTTTTCGAAACCATAAAATTTGTTATATAAATTTTAAGAGTTAGAAGGCTTTAGCTTTTCTCTTTTTATATGAATACCATGGGTTTTTGTTTTAATTTAAAAAACGTCCTGTGAATTTACAATAAAATTGTGATTTATTGTTGTGAATTCATTTTGTAGTTTGGAA